TGTGTTTTCTGCCTTGATCAGCAGTATGATAAACAGCCGAAAAGCTGCATGTCAGCACTGTGTGAACACAAAAGGCTTCTAAATCATACATCTAAACTAATTAGGTAGGTCAGTCAACACCTTAAGTCCCGTAATCGTCATTGACATGTAACCTTCTGAGACACATCACACGACTATGCTGACAAGAGCAAATGAGGGAGCAACTGAGCAAGTGAGAAACAATAAAGCATCGCTTTACACGTTACTGACTGAGAATGGCTAAAGTACCTAATATTACCTAACAGGTAAAAGTATCTAATAATCCCTAATAGGTAAAGTACCTAAAATAATATTCCAGGTTTAAGTTAAGCTCAACCAAAAAAATTATTGTTACTTTTCTTAAAATGTAAATAAATAAATAAATAAATAAAAATATCTGTAAAAAAGGTAAAAAAAAAAAAAAAAAAAGTAAAGCCATAAAATGTGAACAAAATGCAAGTTAACATGATTTTGGCATGAAAAGTGTTTACTCACGTTTCTGCTCCAAAAATTGGCCCAAATTTTGGTGGTAATCAGCATTATGCCACAAATGCTGTCATTCGTATTTTGAATCCAGAATATTCATTTAATAGATGTTTTGTATAATACAAGTTTTAAAAATGAATTACTTTAATCCAGCTTCCTCCAGCTAGTTGAACTTCTTTGAACTGATATCCGAGTGAGTTTATGAGCCTTTTCTGTTTCAGCTTCAAACAACACCAAAGAAAGGTCAGAATAACACTTTATGATCATAATCATCTGCTTGTTATCGTACTGATGGGCTAATAATGCACAGATGAAAAGCCATGTTTTAGTGCTTCCTCTGAAGACTAATGACACCGAAATGTGTGGCACTCCTGCCATCAGGAGCAGAGGAATCCAGTTCCTGTCCTCCATATCCGTCAGCAACCATATGGCATTCACTAGGCAAGTGTGGTGGTCCTTAGCCCTGTGGCCAATGGGGGATATTTGTGGGGTCACCCTTGTGTCTAAGGCCACTTTACCGCCCTCCGTCTGTCCTGTGACAGAAGGACAGTGGGGCCACATACAATAGGGTCCAAAAGTATGAGATTGAAGATGGAAACCTGGGATTCAAAATCTATTTTAGGCCTAAAAATATGGGGAATGTTAAAACAAAGAAACTTTGAAGCTCATAGAGCTTCAGTTAAAGCAAAATGGGGAGAAACTCACCAAAAAATCGAATTAATGGAAAATTTTCAAATGTAACTTTTTATACAAATTATTATGCAGTTAAAATAACTTATTATGAACATACTGGATTAAACTAGCAAATGCAAAAGAGAATTATGTTCACTAGTTGCCTCAGAATTTTTTGGCCCAGTTGTACAAACTATCGGCAGTGCTGTGATTGTGCCTCTGAGGGTTTCCTGTGGACCCTGTATATCTGGGTCTTAACAAGTATCTAAAAGAGAAAATAGTTTCTGGTAAATGTTTTAACAACCAAGAAGTGTTTTTCCACTGCTAACTGCCAGGAAACTCTTTTAAGATTACTCTTTCTGGGAGCACTGGCCCCACTCATCCTATTCTGACAAAAGAAAGAGATGGAGTGAGAAAGAAAGATGGAAATAAAACAAGATGGGTGAATGACCACTGGTTACTTGATTTACATATTCTAATGCAGACAGAGAAGTGGTACCTCAGATTCTTAAGAGAGCAGGACCATGCTGCTCATCAAAATATTCATCTAGCGTAGCGTTAGTTCTGGCAGGTCATGTTAGTCAAGCTCACATCAGCTGACTCTCAGCTGATCCCCATCAACCTATGGGAATACGACACCTATCTAAGTATTCATATATAAGGTCCCACAGTAGTATCAGCAGTTTTCGCATTGCTCAATGGCTAATTACCCTCCTCCATCCCCAACTCCTCCTCTGTCAGTCAGGATTCAGCCTTCTGATTCTCCTTTGAATCAGACTAATTCTAAAATGTGTACATAACATTATTGAACTTTAACAATATCTGCAATACATTTATGTTGGTTCTGTTCTGTTTACCCTGGGGGTGTTATCGCTGCTCTCCCTGCTCTCATCCATGCTAGGCTGCATGGATGCGCAGGGAGTTCTTGCCCAGAACGGAACCATACCGCCAGTCCAAACTGTATGCTAATTGTCAATCATCTTTGACGATAGTGGTCCTGACAGAATTCACATTAAAACCACAAATTTACGAGTACGAATTTATCCATGATAAAACCCGGAATAGCATATCCAAGGACATTACATTTATTTTTATGTTTTCATCGATGTAACATCTACTGTGTGTCTGTAGTGAAATATTTGTTTGTGTCCAACAATTAGTATCAGTTTTCCATACAATCTGCTTTCTGCCACGCTACAGGATGCTAGTTCACATCATTCATTTTCTTTTAATTACTTCCAATTTTTCTTGTCTCCTCTAAATGACTTGGGGAGAGGGGAAGGGTAATGGCCCTGACTTAATGATGATTACAGACAATATTGGTTTCTTATTTCAGTAAACTGGCTCAGTGGTGATTACAAAGAAACACATGAATCTTTACAGCAAATGTGTGAGTGACCCAACCAGAAATAACAAGCATCACTTCACCAAAAATCAACGTTATAGATTGTTAATGAAAATTACTGCAAAAACTAGCTGTCAAAAATATTTAATTAATTAAAATTGAAATTGTTTTAATAGAGAATGTAGTCCAACAAGAGGAAATGCATGCATATAAATTGCATAAAAATTTGTATGGCACTGATGATGGTGTGAATCAAAAAGGTTTTGTATTTGTACTGCACATTTTCACTTTATTGGTCTCTGAATAAAAGCATTTTGTAATAACATTTTTCTATGATTATGTGTGTGAACTTCTCTTGTTGGACTTGGTTATAATTTTAAGTAATTTTTAAGTATTTTTCATTTACAAACTTTTACTCAATCATGGATGTTTCACTGCTTTTTCATGGTCATCTAGAAGAGAATGAAAACCAAAACAAAACTTAATTTTGAAATCAGTTAATACACACAATACTTGCACAATACAAAGTAGTGGTGTTTTGTTCCTGTATTTTGAACAAATTGGTTGATCGAAAGATTCAATGACTCACTCATAAAGATGGTCAATTATTTAGTTCCTGAATGAATCACCACTTTGAATAAATCGATTAAATGAAAGAGTCACTTTTTACCATCTTTTGGTGTAACAATGTAATGAAAAGAAATTAAAATACTGAAATTAAATACTGAAATACTTTTTCTAAGAAATATGAACTGAAATATTTTTGGTCAATTAAAATGAACTAAAACTAAATTGGAAATGGAAATCAAAATAAATAATGAAATAAAACTAAAAACAAAAACTAGGTAAATTTTCAAACCATAATAACCCAAATTGCCTCCATTCACTAACACTATCTTCAATATCCCTCTCACAAAAGAGCACTTGCAGCTCACAGCAGAAAGCGTAATTATCACATCCAATGCCTCTGACCCCTGTGGATTTCTGCACATGAACATTAGCAGTAATTCACATTGGCTTCCCACTGTCAGTGTGGCCACTGTGGGGATTTTCTAATCTTCATTGGAGATTGTCCCTGGGGATGTGCGGCTGCTTGATATTTTCCTTTTCTGACTTTCCTCATCCTTATCCTCTTCTCCTTCTCCCTTCCTTTTCTTTGTGGTTAGATTAGCAGGCTTAGTGGTAGCCTCTCCAAAATCTATACATGTTACAGGCTTCATTGCCAAAAACACACAAAGGCTTTAAGAACAGCAGGGATAGATGGGAACTTGAAAAGAGGAATTAGACAAGGTCCGATACCCAGCACACTGACCCGAGTCTTCATATATAAGAACTCTCAGCTATTCAGATATTAATGGCTTTGATTGTCTATTTGGGAAAAGAAACAGTTAATTAGCCATGAAACAGTTATGAAATGTGGACCTTGACATGTTTTGGATACTGTAAGGCATTAATAAGCTATTTTTCAGTAAAAGAACAACACATCAAAACAATGTTGAGACGTGAACCTATATAAAAGCTAATAGCACAAAGTGAAATGAAATTAATTGAACAATCCTTAACTAAATTACTTTTTAAAAAATAAAATTTTATTTGCTCTGTGTTTAAATGTTTTTAAAATTCGGATTGTGTGATAACAAAGGCCCATATTGTTAATCATGCTCTATTTTGGGCACAACCAAGGCATAACCAATATCTCCACTGGCATGTTGTCCATTCCAGCAATTCTCACAGTTAAAACATTATACATCTCTCTTTCTTTTTTCAGTATTTCTCTATTTTCATATTGGAAATAGTTTATTTAATATGCCATTGCAGCTTCTGATTAAAAAAGTACTAAAGATGTATTCCTGGACAGTTCTTATCATTATCATTCGTTCCTGTCTTGCCGAATTCGGACCTAATGTGTAATTCATATCGAAAGCAGGTTCTCACACTCACATAACCATAAACACACACATTTAACAGAAATAAATCCACCCACTGTCAGACACAAGTGCCAAATTGATAAAACAGCTGGTGAAAATTGTTCAGTCTAATTTCCGTCACATTGGGATTTAATTGTGCATGAATATCTTTAATCATATCACCAACAGCCCATGACTTGCACACACAGATTTACTCAGTTGAACCTCCTGTCAATCATAGAATTCTACAAATGCCCTGTCTGCTTTGTATTGGTTTCTTAAGAATGTTGGTTAATTTGATAATGCTTTCAGCCACCAATAGGACTATTTTTTAGCTCCATATAACACATTTTACCATATTTAAATCCACCAATTTACCTTTAGAATCAGCAATAAATAAATAAACAAATAAATAGTCACTTTGATCAAAGAATAAAGGCCAGCTCTTTCATTAATTCCAGTCATTCCAACAGCTCTCTCTGTTCTCTGGCCACAGATCAGACATGAGAATTAACAGCTTGTGAGCAATATACATGTAAAAGCATGTCAAGGTGACAATAAAGTCAGGTTACCTGCTGCCACAGCTGTTTAAATGATCTTCCTGATGTCACCATGCCTTGGATCCTTAAACCCCCTGTAATGCCAATTCACAAGAATCAATGACATGGCATGCAGGCCAAAACATAGAAAACATAGTATTCCTGTTGCTCAAACAGTAGATCAGCAGAGCATGGCACTAGTAAATCAAGTTCATGGTTTGAATTTTCAGGGAATCTCACTGAAGGGATAAAATGTATACCTTGAATGCAATGTCAGTTACTTTAGATTAAAAAAAAACAAAAAACATCTGAAATCTCAAATGAAAATGGAACCAGGTTGGAAAAAATATGCAGTTTGCCAAGGTAGTATTACACAGTTCCCACATACTGTATATACATTTAGCTAATACAGTACCTAATCATTACATGGTGGTATCCGGTTACAATAGCCACTTTTCCCCTCCATTTGGTAACTGGCCATTAATGTGGTATCACTAAAGCCCATTTCGTTAATGACACTGTCATTGGGGCCAGTGTATGCGTCTTTTACCCTGCATGTGGCGAGACTGGACCCTCTCAAGTGCCCCTTTGATGATCGTAATCTGTAATCCATAAAAAAGACTATTACCATTCCCACAATTTCCACTGCTTTTCCCCTCCATTTACTTCCCTGCCGATTACGATGGTTGTTACATTCACAAATAGACCCGCGCAGGTGGTTACCACCACTAATTGAGAGGTTCACATAGAATCTGCTTGAGGGAGGAAAGGGCTACACAAAGCTAAAAGTACTTGATGAGAGACTGAGTCTGACCCAACCTCTATAAAACTGGCCGTAAATTGTGATAGTGAATGACTCTACAGACACACAGTCATGGCTGCGACATTAGGGTCAATGGACAGCAATACAGGTCTTACAGTCCATTCAGTTAATGACCCTGTACGCTCATGAGCTGATATGTTCTGCAGTCCTGTTTCCAACATGGATGATAGAGCAGGTTTAAAACAGAGCAAATAAAATAAACCAGATTTGAATTTTAAAATCAAAGAAAGGTAAGGGGAATTATTCACTTCTATCAACATCACACATTCCCTAAGCTTCTAGTCTGTTGCTAATCTCTATCTAAACCTATTAAAGTAATTAGCAAAGCAGCGGGAGAGTTGTCCATTTTGATAACTCTCAAAGGAAGAGGGTAATTATCAGGGTTTGAGCGATTTTGCCAGAGGAGAGAGAGACAGTTAGACTGTTCCTCTGATGACAGCCAAAAAGTGCGGTGAGGCAAAGCGCGTATGATTTCCCACTGACCTGCCAGGCTATAGCCACTCATACAAACAGGAGGTTTTTTAGTCATCCCCATACACACTGGGATGCATGTGGTGTACCTTTGTGTGTGGGATGTCTGTTGGCACAATCTACGTAGTTTCATTGGGGTGCCTTTTTTAAAAAGCAGGCACATCGCCCAATGTTGACAAAGCTGGGTATCTCCTGCTGTCTGCTTGTTTCGTGTGCACAGAGTGGAAAGAATCAATTATCCCAGCACACAGCTCACTGTTTTAATATCTGACTCCTAATTAGATTGCAGGGGGATCTCCTTAGTGTGCATAGATCAGGGTTTTTAAAGGGGTCATATGATGCGATTTCAATTTTTCCTTTCTCTTTGGAGTGTTACAAGCTCTTGGTGCATAAAGAAGATCTGTAAAGTTGCAAAGACTAAAGTCTCAATCCATTTTAATAGTATTGCTCTACGTGCCAACAAGGACGAGAAAGCAAGAACTTTACACATAGATGCTGACAGCCATGACCATTCCAAATAAATGTAGAAATAACAGAGTCCAAAGATTTAAAAAAGGAAAGGGGAATAAATAAAGGTAAACATTGAAAAAGATAAAGAAATTTAGGGAGCACCACCATCTTAACGGAATTAATGCGCCCAATGAGAGAGATCTTTAAAGGGGACCATTTAGAAAGATCTTTCTTAATCCTTTCAAGTAGTAAGCCAAAATTATGTTTAAAAAGATGCTTATGATGGCGAGTGATACAGACCCCAAGATAAGAGAACTTATTTTCGACTAGTTTCAATGGTATGTTAGAGTACTGTAACTGCGCATCTACCTTGTTAATAGGAAAAAATTCACTCTTGTGCAGATTAAGCATGTAACCAGAAAACAGACCAAAATTCTTAAGCAAAGATAGAGCTGCAGGTAGAGAGGTATGTGGATTAGACATAAAAAGCAGTAGATCGTCTGCATATAGAGTTACCTTGTGCTCGGCCTCCCCGCGGGTAATTCCAGTAATCTGCCGACTCTCGCGTAGAGCGATCGCTAAAGGCTCGATAGCTAGAGCAAACAATAATGGGCTTAGCGGACAGCCCTGTCGAGTTCCGCGGTACAAGTTAAACGGCCTAGAGTGCAGACTATTGGACAGGACTACTGCTGAGGGAGAATTATAAAGTAATTTAATCCAAGAGAGAAAGACTGGGCCAAATCCAAATTTTTCCAAAGCCAAAAAAAGGTACTCCCACTCCACCCTGTCAAACGCCTTCTCGGCATCCAAAGAAACGACACATTCTGGAATGGCCTGATGCTGAGAATATACCACATTAAGTAAACGGCGGATATTAAAAAATGATTGACGATTCTTTATAAACCCTGTTTAATGTTCTTTTTAGCAGCATCATATGACCCCTTTAATATATACACTTCCATTCAAAAGTTTGGGTCAAGATTTTTTAAAGCAATTAACACTTTTATTCAGTGAGGATGAAATTAAATTGATCAAAAGTGACAGTAAAGACATGTACAAGGTTACAAACGATTTCTATTTTGTATGAATAAATGCTGTTCCTTTGAACTTAATCAAAGAATCCTGGACAAAACTTTTCCACAAAAATAATAAGCAGCACAACATATTTCAACATATTTTTTCTAAAACACCAAATCAGCACATTAGAATAATTTCTGTAGGATCAGTTGACACTGATGACGAGTTATGGCTGCTGAAATCTTTAAAATATATTACATTTTTTTACGATCGCTATGACAGTTTTTTCAATACTTTTAACAATTTTCCTACACTTTTAACACAGTTAGCACAACATCCATCTGTGTAGGCTATACAATTAACACATTTCTTGTTGCTTTGACACAAAATGCATTCAGTTAACACAAATTTAATTTAAAATGCTTGAACTTCTCTTACACACAAGCTCAACCAAGACCAAAACAATGGATTTTTTTACTGCCAAATGTACAAATGCTTTCACACTGTATGTCAGAACAATTAACATCATGTTCTAAACCTAACTTATAGGCTAAAGTCAAAGTGAACAGCTTTTCATATTGTGAATTGAAACACAAATATATCCCCGTATTTTATTTAATTGTTTATGATGAAAAGCTGATTGAAGTTATGCAAATATATAAATAAAATAAAATAAGTAAAATAAAATAAAACAGCTAGGAAACACACTCAGGTGTTGAGGTTCTTTCAATTGCATGACCATATGGTATACAGTAAAAGACCACTACTTCGGGCTGATCTTGTGTGTAAAAGTGCACTTCTGCATAAATGTGAGATTGACCACTGACCGCCTTCTCCTGTTTTTAGAAGACCTGCATGAAAGACTGGTGCCAGAGGTAGAAAGGGGACAGGTGGGAGACCACTTGCCAATATATGTGATCACATGGGACAATGTGGCATTCCACCATTCCTGTGCAGTTACAGCCTCGTTTGACGCACATCCGAGGATGATGTCCCTTTTCTTTGCCCCTTACTCCCCTTTCCTCAACCCCATTGAGGAGTTTTTCTCAGCCTGGAGATGGAAGGTTTTTGACCATCGTCCACAGGCCCAAATGTCCTTATATATATATATATATATATACACACACATACAGTAATAGATGGCAGCTGTATTACATATTTTTGTTATCTTGCAGTAATGTCTTATAAATAAAGCATTTTTTTTCATAAACCGTACATTTTATAAAGGCACCTGAGATGGGTCATTTACTTTTTTGTACTGAATTTCTGCAGCAAAAGAAACAAAATGCATGCATTTACTAAACACAACAAAACTAAAATGTAGAGAGGTTTCAAAAGAATCTGCAGTGCAAAACACAGTCTATGATCAATACAATATACTGTCTATTGTATAAGGGCAGGCCTGAGGCATATAAAATAATACATTTTCTGTAATTCCGTCTGATGTTAGTGTTTTTATGACATTGTGTTTTGATGGACTAAATGTTCCTGTTGAAAGAGAACGCGTGTTAGTGTTTTGGAATAATTATTTGATTTTGAGACATGTTTGCAGTGTTTTGGTAGTCATGGTGTATTGTGTTAATGCATTATTGTATTTTGAAAATTTGTGTTGGAGTTTTGTTTTCAATGTGTGATTTTGAGCATGAAATTAACTGTTTTGACAATTGTGTGTTGTAGGTGTGTTGGTGCGTTAAGAGTTTAGGAAAGTTGTTAAAAGTATTGAAAAAATTGTCATAGCAATCGTAAAAAACTGTAAAATAGCAATTCAAAACAACACCATTTTTCATAACATTTTTTCTTATTAAAGTACCTTTTATTCTGAATGTTTCTGAAAATTGCTTATTTTTTTTCTGTTTTATTAAACAGTGGTTTACTGAACAGATTGTTGCTCTATCTTTAAATAAACTGAATTATAATACATTTTCTCAAGGATTAAAAATCTACCTCAGCTAATACTGTAACTACAGGAAGCCTGATTACTTTCACATAACTATAATAATTAAAGTTACAATTAATAGAAACAACTAATACAACAATTAATACAAATAACATGCAGTAATTAATAATTAATTATTATTAATAATAATAATAATAATAATTTATGCATTTAGCAGACACTTTTATCCAAAGCGACTTACAGTGCATTCAGACTACATTTTTTGGTTACACTTTATTTCGATAGTCCACTTTAGACATTCTATTAACTATAAGTAACGTTGTAACTACATGTCAACTACATGTCAACTAATTCTCATTAATTTGCAACTACATGTCTACTAACTCTCAGAGTAGACTGTTAGGGTAGGTTTAGGGTTAATAGAATAAGTTGACAAA